AAAACCTCACAAAATCTGCTGTTGGAGTACGGCAGGTTTTGGGCAGTTAGGGTTAACGATCAATGAAAAGTTACTGTTTTGCATGTTCGAGACGTGGCCTTATAAATATCTGCCATCTGAAAGTCAATTCAGAATATCTCTGTAGATACATAGGATTGGCCGAGTCATGCACAAAAAAAGCCATTAATGAACTCTTGAAAAGACAAAAGAAAAAATTACCACTCTTCCTGAAGTTCACGAATTCGAGCTCTCTCAGGCCTGGCCATATGCCAAACAGTTTCTCCAGCATCTGCATGTGATCTGGCTGGTTGCTGAAGGAAAAATCACACAAGACCAGATGCTGTATGCAGTGGTCAACAGTCCTCTGGCATCGATGACTTGCTGGGTTGGTACTGCTGAGAGGGTCAATTTGGGAAAAGAGAGAATTGTCTTGAGTGCTCAATTTGCTTTGGCCATCCAGGTCAGGCTCTGAGGAATATGGGTTGCAGCATTCTCCCCTGCAGCATGGCACTGCAACATGCCTCTTGCCACTTTCCATGATCTCACCAAGTACTCCGGAACACACTTTGAAGATGTTGAACAAGTGGCCACCTGTCTCACACACAGGATGCTTCAGAGTGAACTTTCTCAAGACCCCTTGATGAATCAGAAACTCCAGGAACTGCTGCAAGATGCTCTCATACTTGGGAAGGTAGTCAGTCAGCACCAGCTCTCTCAAACTCTTCTGTAGAATCTTCATTATCTCCTCATTCCTCTGCAAAGAGAACAAATGAAAAACCAACAGTGCTTTTAAGTCTGGTCTTGTGATTTCAACTGGCTTCAAAACAGATACAATATACAGGTATATGTATCAGCAGACCAATGATAATTATCCCCCTAGGGTGTATGTAAAATCATATTGAAATTGGAGGATTCAGGACTGTTAGGATTAACCGTTCCCACCCAAATTCTTTCAAAATAAAAGTTTAACTGAAAAGTTTAAAAGGAATCCAGTGTGGTAGAACCCAGCAACTACACGTTTTCAAAGACCTGTTTCTCCTTGAAAGCTGAATTCAAAACAATGTATCATTAATATGCCCACAGCGGAGAATTTGGAGAATTCAAAAAGTCCCCAGCAAAAATGCCCGCAGATCTTAGGTTTTTTTTTCAAGTGGCACAGTGTCCTCTGTCCACAATAACACATTTCAATTTGTTTGCTGACCTGAACATAGGGAAGAATATCACTGTGAAGAACCAGCAAAGACGGGAAGAAATCATCCAGTGGTCCATGAGTGGAGAGTGGATTCCGTAAAATGTCCAGAATCTTCAAACTCAATGTGTCTGCAATAAGTAGACAGACTCTGGGAGTAACAAGGTTCTTATTGTATAAAGTTACAATGTATTTAAAAAAACTGGTATGGCAGCTCTTGTACTAAGGATGATCACATATCAACAAATGCAACTTTTGAACTTAGACTGTGATTTGGCACAAAGCATTACATAAATAAATATAAACCAATTAAGCATGTTGCTTTCTAAATTTTTATTTAATGGAAGAGCCAGTCATTTGTATAATGTAACTGACTGATTTGTTTACGGTTGGCAAACGAGTCCAGAAAAGCCAACAGCCTCCTTGCCTCCAGTGTATGCTGACACTGATGTAAAAGAGTTTTTAACCATTAAACGGGTTTCAAGCGTGCATTGATGAATACACATACATGTTGTTAGAAACAAAAGCTCAAGCTACGTTGGAAATAAAACACAAATGAACCCTCCCACAACAGAGGCAGGTGGGCACCATGGGCAAATGTAGGTAAGATCAAGAAATTAGGCTTTATTTTACTCTTATAGTTGGCCTATTTCCAAGCAGTTAATCAAGTAAATTTCAGAGCACAAGTACAGAATAAGGGGTCAACTTACAGGTGGTGTCCGTCATTTCACCCATTTGCCACTTCGTCCACACGCCACTTTACCCATTTGCCTCTTCACCCATTTGTCACTTTGCCTTACGCCCACTTCGCCTGCACAAAATTTTGCGTGGTACAAATGCACACCCTACTTTCACAAGGTAGTAGGCCTGTGATTAACCAACAAGTCTCCACATCTTTCTAAGGACTTGATGCTGATTGATGCGTGAACACACATAACTTTCCTTATTTGTTCCACAGAGGCCGTGTACACCAGTTTAAGAATTCTATTTCCATTTCTGCAGTTGATGTATTAAGTTATTACAGCACCTTGCTTGGTTGGGTCAAAGTGCCATTGCAAAGTTGAAGAATTTGCAGGTAAAAAACCACCCCAGCAGCTTTTTTGGGGTAAGAAAATCTTACGTTAACCTATGGTTTTACTGCATAAATATGCACAAGTGCCTACAGTCCCTCTTGTGCATGTATTTTCTACATGGAACACAAGCATGCACAGGTTCAGTGTATACACAGTTGGTTGCCAGCACAAACTGACATACATGTAGGGTCTTTT